TCCATTGACTTTCTTTCCACTCATATACAATGATGACGATGAATTCGTTGAACATGATGATGATAATGATGATGATGATGACGATGAAGAGGATAAACTTGACTGCTCTATTTCATTAGAATATAAGTTCTCATTTTGTATTAAAGTGCATTTAAGTAATTTACTAAAAAAATCCTCTTCATAATTAATCTTACTAATGTCATTCTGTAAACCATCAATTGTCATCATTGATAAAGATGATAATGATTTAACTGGTGATATAATTGTTGATGGTATTACTGTGGCAGATAATGGTATTATTCCTGATGTAGTTGTTGTCGTTACAGCTGCTGTTGCTGCTGATATTAACATAGATGACCAAAATGGATAATCTGTATATGAATTAATTGACATGAAAGGATTCCAATGTTCAATAGTTAACTTTTCTTGAATATTATTAATATCAAAATCATTATTATAATTATTATTGTGATAACAATTCCATGTATAATGAATATTCATAAAGTTTAAAAAATTTGATATTGTCTCTTTATCATATTGTAATAAACAATGTTGTTGTTTCATTTGTTCAATCATCATAGATCTAGACTTTTCACTGAAATTATTTGATAATTCAAACATCTTAATGAATCAAACGAATAATTAATTCATATCAAATGGTTGTATTAACATAAGTTTCTTTTTAAAATGAACAGGGTTTATTATATTATGATTGTTTGTTTAAAAAAATATGATTTTCAAAATTTTTTCATAAAAAAATTATTATACGATCATAAGTAGTAGTTTACGATTATTGTTAATAATAACTAATAATTATTAAATTATAAACCAATCGGATTTATTGTTGACGCGCTAATTCAATGTTTCTATATTTTGTATTCTTTTTTAATTATCATTCCATACAAGAAATACGTTTATTCTATCTCAGAAAGAGAATGAGAGGAAATCATTCTAAGTAAGATAATTAACTGTCTGTTATTCTGCAATTTTGATTGGTTCATTAGTAAAATATGAAATAATCGTTAAAGGTTAGAAGAGAATAAGAGTGTATTAGGGCAGAAAAATGAAATAATCTACTTTCTTATTTCATATATTAAGGTACTAATAAATTATAATCAAATCACAGAATAGGGGTGTGTGGAGATTGCAGTAATTTAATTCATGAGTCGATTATAGCTAGACCATCATGGAAAACATGAAGGTACTTGATGGCTGTTTCGTCCTGATTGAAGTTAGATATTAACACCGATGGATGCCAGTTCAGTGGTCTAGGGTTTAAGCGTTTGTGCGCGAGATCGAAGGTCCTGGGTCCGAGTCCCGTGTGCTGGATCGTGAATGCACACTAGTGAGAGGTCCCATACGAGAATGAAACCGCTATTTAATACTTTCAAGTTTTCTAGCTTTAATTGACACGTGAATTCAACTATTAAATCATAATTTGTATTTCAGTTCTGTGTAAAATGTTCCATAGGTAATTATAAAGTCAATGGTTATCTTATTTGCTTAAGTTCAGTACTATGTTATACATCACATATTGGATCTTACTAATTTAAATTGTTAAAGGATTTTCATTATTATTTCATTTTTCGATATAAAAAAATAGCCTATTCAGCTGAATTTTTCAGTTTCACTAAGATATGTATGGAGATGGAATAGAGAAATTAGGTGATGTATAGTTACGGTTCTTTCTATGAAATTATGATTTAGTTTAATTAACCCTCCGTTTCTTGTTTACTCCAAAAATAATGAGATTTAATTATGGCGAATCAATAGGTAGGCTATTTGTTAAAACATTCGACTTTTAGTTATTACGTTGAACGTTAAAAAACGTTCCATTTACACTAGTTTGAATCACCATGTTATATTACTAATCATCGAATGAAATGTCACTGAAGAAAGGATGCTGAAGAATAAAATGTAAAACTTATCATCCTTCATTTCTTTTTTATACTTACTGATTTGACTAATTCGGTGTGACCCTTTGAGGATAAAACCAATGAGATAGCCGCAGTTTGGTTAATAATTACTCCATTTTATCATGATCTGATCAGTAGAATCCCATGAAACCTAGGTAGTCTCTGTTGGATGCTATGATTTATAATTTTGTACTTGGAACTTATTCGATAAAAAGAAATGACTCAGTCGGATCGACTGTTTTGGAGAAATACACAATCAAGTAACCAAATATTAATTACTAATTAACGTAGATGATAAATTGTATTGAAACAATGACCAAAGGAAGATAAAGTATTAATGGACAATCTCTTTGATACACAATTTTTTATTAAGTTTACTGAAACGCTAAAACCTGAATTCATGATACACATATACTGTATGAAGTAACAAAAAATTAAATCACTTCGTGTTGACAGTGGAATATCGTCTCAATTAATAGAGTACATTCAAAGATAACACGCTGGGTAAAAAATAGTTAAATATAAAAGTTGATTCATTATTTTTCATTTGAAAACAGGACTTATTGTTTCAAGCTATGTTTAATGATTCTCGAATTATTCCACCAAGTTTAGATTTAACTATAACTTATACACAAATCGGATGAATAAATATGTAATCCAGAAAAAAATAGCAGGAACTGATAACTATTCATTAACTAACTGTTATGCATAGAAACAATGTATGCTGGAAAAAAGTAGTTTAATATCCGATTATCAATCAGTTTATATGTATCAATACCAAGGTTGGACTTGATAGATTCAAATAAATTGAGCATACCGTAGAGAGTTAATATTAAATATATTTTTGTTATATCCCATTAAGTAAGAAAATTGTATTTCTGACGTTTCATGACTTAATGTGAGCCACTTCTTCAGAGAAAAGTTTTACTCATTGGGATATAACAAAAATATATTTATTATTGGTTTGATATCAGTTTTGACAACGGATCATAACTTCTTTATTATTAGTAAGCCTAAACTGACAAGTTCATTCACGATAAACATAAGTTCACCAGTATCACAGTAATTAGTTTGCCTGTAGATAAATTAATTTGATGACAGGTGAAAAATATTTTTTAGAATGTTTTTTCAATGATTTAAATCAACAGCTCATATTACTACTGAATTCAGAGCATTAACTATTCATACATGTATACAGTCAAGAATATTTAAAAAAAATTATAAAACATTATCATTTAGTCATCATTCATTTTATAAACAGATGAATATGTTAACATTCTGCATTATTAAAACATAAGTTCTATAACCGATATCGATCGAATTTGACACTACTTTGTTGCATTTGCAGATACCATCAATATATACAACCTCCCGAAATCGATGGGCTAGTTTTTTTATATACTATCGAAAGACAGAATCCTGGATCACCGTAAACATCAAGATGGGTCTTAGCTACACTTCTTACACCGATGGTACGTTCGGTTAACCTTTCAAAATCATCGACTAAATAAAGTTCACCACATAATTTGCTGTGACCAGAAAGTTGTCATTATTTGAACATGCGTCGGCAAACGTCAAAAACATCTTGTGCAATTGTATTTTTCCTGAACGTCGGTAAATAAAAAAACCCGTGGCTCTAGAAATCAATGAAGGGTGGATAACATCCTTCTGATCGATGTCAAATGACTAAACCAAAGGCCTATCTCCTAAGATGTGGAAACTCGTGTATATGACCTACTGACCATAGTTACTGTGTAAAAACCTTTTATCAAATATACTAGATTTGTGTCCACGACTGACAGGTTGCCCGTAATGCTAGATACTAAGTTGATTATAAAACCAACCTTCATGTAATTTGAGAAGCTATCAGCCAATTAGGATGACACTTCATTGTGCATACATATTTTAAATAAAAACCACTGGGATCTCTCTTATTATAACATGGTAGAAAACCTCTTTCCCATAAGATTTTAATTCATTTAGAAGTTCCGCTTCCACAGAAATTCCTACACCAACAAACATCACAAATCATAGCTTCAGGATTTAAAATAGACACAGGAGACAGCAGTGATTGTTAATACAATCGAATACCGATAACTCAAAATCATTACTACTTACACCATTAAAAAACCATTCTTATAAGATCAATGCTACTCTCACCCCTTAGAACAAAAGCGTGACGCAGAATCGAGTAAATGAATCCGCATTTTGTTAAGAAATTTCGATGACTGAACAAATAACTATAGATACAAAGATAGTAATCCAGGTTTGAGTTATATTGGTTTCATACTTATTTGAAGTAGCTGAGTTGTTATACAACACATTCTTGTTGAGACTTTCAATTAGATATTATAGGTATTTCATCAGAAGAATAAATAGTTGTAGTTGGGACAATTTATATTTATGCGTATAGGATACCTAAGCTTGTCTATAGCCGATTTTAAATTAGGGTATAATTAGTTATTGGTCCATGATACCGCGGATAGAGTTAGCGGATTTGTTTGATAAATAGATTTCAGCCATACTTTGATTATCATCTATTGACTACAACTACTTTATAAAACATAACTGAATAATGCTTCTACATTAGCGGTTTGCCCGGGTTTTTTATTCAACCTTAAATACATTGGTCGTTGGTAGGGAAAAACAACTATTTGCTAAATATTTGTTAGTAAACTCTAAACACTGGCTTGATTCATTAATCCATAACTCGAAAACATATTATTTTTACTACCAAGATTATCTCGATGTATTGAACAATTTATTGACAGTTTGATTGACTAATTTGTACTCCTTCTTAAACTATATAAAATAATTTGACACAGTAGACGTTCACTATGTGATTGAGACCCGTATCACTTAGGAAATATATAACCCAGTTATTTAAAATGTGGCACTTACATTACTCAAATATTTGCAAAAAATCACTATTAATTAGTAGTGCCTAATACAGACACATGTTCAATCTTTTATTGTTGATCGAATTCTACTGATCAAGTAACAAAACTATTATTTTATATGACTCGATACTACGCAATGGATAGACCTTGAACTGCAGTTTTGTACTTATTAGAAGAAAAAAAATAACAAAACAATTTGTTTATATTTACCGTTAAAGTATATTAAAACAAAAAAATTCGTATGAAAGACATTTTTCGATAAAAGATAATATGATCTATATATGAGGTGTATAAGCACCATATGTGTTTGTACGATAGAAACTAACAATTACATATAACGTTACCAGTTACACATAAGAAAAAGAAATAAGAAAAATATGCAAATAATAAATATACACAATATCACGATTACTTGAAAGATATCAAGCTTTCAATAAACAACATAAAATAGGTTAGGTAAATCTCTCTCTCCATATATATCACATTAATAAGCAGTGATCTGAAATAAGAAACGAACAAAGAATATTATAATAAATTAATCAATTGCTTATTCGTTTAATAAATGATATTCTATTAATCAAAAGGATGATGATATACAATTTAAATGATTCACGTGGAAGTAATAGGCTAACTGTTAATGAAAATTTTCTACATTGAATTGTTAAGAAACACTAACATTAAACTGAATAAAATAGTCTATAACTAATAACTTTAGATGTAGATAAACTAAATAACTAATTTAGGAATATATCTTTGAAAAATTTATATTCTCAACAAATATATAATATCAGATGGGTTTTGTGGATATTACAATTCCAATGGTTAAGATCATGAGTCAGTTGAAGCTAGACCACAATGGAAAACCTGGAAGCACTGGACGGCCGTTTCGTTCTATTGTGGGACTCCTTCCTCAGCAGTGTGCATCCAGGACCTCTCCCTCTGCGAGATTCGAACCCAGGACCTACTGGTTTCGCGCGCGAGCACTTAGACACTAGACCACTGAGCCGACACCCAACGGTGTTAATGTCTAACTTCAACTAATCCACGAAATTGAGCGATACATCCATGGTGGTCTGGCTTCAACTGACTCATGATCTTAACCATTGAAATATATAATACTTTGACTTAAAAAAAGTAATCTGAAATGTAAACTTATTGAAGAGCTACAAAAACTAAGGATTAAGCAGTGTACACTGAAACGGTAGCTCAGTGATTACGGTATTTGACCTTCAACTACTAAGCCGCAGATTCAAGCCCAACTCCCCTTACTTCGGTTTGAGCAGTTGTTTAGTATGGATAGGCCTCACAGCTAAGGTGTGGCTCAAGGTTAAGCATACGAATTTTTATCGGGTATGGGAGTTAATAACTCAGATTAAAACATACTGAAGTTCTCCATAGAAACAAATGCCAATGAAACACTTTAAAATGTTTCATAACTTTACAGAGGATAAAATGAGAAACGGCATAATTGAAACTCCTGAACTTTACAAACTAAACTGTACGATACACACTTATCCAAGGGTTTGGTCTTGATTCAGGCATTCACTAATAACCAAAATATGACCCCTATACTTCAAGAAATAATTTATATTCGCCCATAATGAAATGAATCACTCCGATTGTAGTACACCAAAGTTCTTGACTCGTAACATAATAACTAAGTTCGTTGGTATTCACAGTTTCCGTTCTCCTCTCACTCCACTCGTTTGCGTGCATTGCTTTATACTACTTGTTGATATTTAGTAACCAGTCGCATTTCTAATAATGTATGGACACATTGTTCAACGTCCATTTATTGTTGCGTATTTGCATAAACTAACTTGAAATAGTTATTTCTAGTTATTGTGCATTCCTCAGATATATTTTTAGACACAAGAGTTTCTATGTCTTGGTGCTATTAGTCTCCATCTAATAGTTGATAATTATTATCGACTTTAGACAGCTACCGACTGTGACTTACGCTATCGCACATTGCAATTATTTTTCACGTAATTACTACAGGGAATCTTTTTACTTCAACATATCAAGAGGCGTTAATTTCCAAAGATATTACAAGATTTGAGATTTGCAAATAACTTGCATTGAACATTTCTTTAGATAAATCGTTGTTTTGAGTTTCAATTGTTCATGTGTATCTAATTTGTGCAATTAGACGCTTGGATAGATTTTAAAAGTGATGTTTCCTTTAACATTGAGTGATTAATCATCCTTGCGCGAGATTAATCTATTCATTAAAACTTTCGCAATAATTATGAGAGTATAAGATTATTTATGAGCATATTGAATGCTCGTTTAAATAACATATGATGAAGATAGAAATGAATAGAAGTTAAATAAATAAAATAGAAGTAACCTCAGTGATAACAGAATGTAAAAAAATCTTGTCAAAAAACTAAATTAAATCTGCATAATAAAGTGAAAACACCTACCTTCTTCTTGTGGATTTTCGTCGAGTACTTCTTCACCAATTTGAAAACTAGATTCATTTTCACCAATCATCATTGTACTGTTGCAATTTAACTTGGCTTTGATTTGTTCGGCTTTATCCATGGCAAGATTTAACTAAAAATTATGTGAAAAAACAAACCATGAAAAGAAATCAATTAATCTGAGTTGTGGTTACTATTTTCAGTCTTTTAGAAATGAAAAAAAGACGACAAATTATTTAACCATTATAAACTTATAAATCAAAGCTCGTCTGTATAAATAACAAAAAAAAACTTTATATTCCTATAAACATACTGATGATATAGCATGAAACAGTTCTGTGAAAAGTAAGCTGGTGTTAACTGAAGAACTACCTAAAACTAAGAAAGACTAAACAGATGTCTCATTCCTATTTGAAACTCTAACAGTCCACATATACCATATAACAGTATGTTAAACTCTGCATCTTCAGAATTCATGGCCAGCAGAAAAAAGAAATTGAAGCGAGTTCACGAACAATACATGCACTTATTAACTAGTTCAAAGAAAAGTTAAAACAACTGGTGGCAATCATACAATGAAATAATTATAAAAAAATCTTTGTACAAACACCACATAAAAACAATCTATATCTTACTTCTTTAAACAAAATACTCCGGTTCTTGGAATTAGAATCATCTGGAGAAAAAAAAAGGAAATATCAAATAACGTGTGGTCATTTATATTAAAATAATGGTAATAATAATAATACTTATGAAAACGTACTTATGGACATTACGGCATGACAACACAAACTGACTAATCGTCCCAATTGATCAACTAACGGTTGATGCCTAAAAATCCTAGCAAGTATTCTGTACCATCCAAACACAAAGTAGCTTTAAAAGTTTATCAAATCTACACAAAGAGGTTTCAATACATAAGAACTATATATAAGAATTTATGGTAGATCAAATATGATGAAATGAAGACAGTGTTGTCCAGCTGATTTTAATTAGCGCGTTTTTTGGGAGCATGATTGAGGTAACGTAGCAACATTTGAGAAGCCATAAGACAGAGATACAAGTCAATATAGGAAATTTTTTATTGCTCTTCCTACCTGAAACTTTCCCATTATTATTTTAAATAAAATTCGTGTACACTAATATTATTGCACAGTAGAAAAATATAGCTCAAAGATCTTTTCCAGGATACGAAGATCCTCAAGAAAACATCATGAACTTCAGAATTATTTCAAGAATATAATCAGTGATAGAGTTCAGGGATGAGTTATCGGAAAGTTTTGATTTCGAATAATGGGAATTATTGTTTATAAACACTTACTACGTCAGTTTTTTTTTTACGGAGCGTATTACAGACAATGATTATGAACTTAATAACGAAAGATTTCGTTTTACAAATAACCACAAAATACAATTTAAATGAAGGAATTAGAAAAATAATTGAATCATGTGATACTAAAGAATAGTTATGAAGAAATAAATAAACATGAACTAAATCGATTTAAGTAGAATCAATGTTGTAATAATGAAGAGTATGATATGCGATATAAATTTCTACTTGAAAAAGTGAGGTCCTAGTAAAAAAAAAATCGTGATTTGTAAATTTAGACAAGTTGAGAACGAAATAAGAACTGTTAGATGATATTATGTGAGGATTACACAACATCATAAATTGAATTGTGTTAAGAATTAACGATTGAATGGTATCGTGTTCGCTACGAGATCACACGAACGAAAATGCGATCATGTGTAGAATTGTAGGTGTATACATTACTTGCAATTCTCGAACAAGAAAGAAATATCTATTTAATGCTCTCTGGTTTTCCGTAAATATCTAATTGATATCAGTCCATAATGTAAAGTGACTATGAGCGTTTTACTACTTAACTTACAAATAGCTATTATATCACACTTATAATTAATTTAAACAATAAACACTAACTGATGTCATTAATAAAACATAGAGAAGCTTATTTCTCATAAAAGAATGAATCATTTAAAATGTTACCCACTGACATAATACAAATCTTGATTGACAGTTACCACTACTACAACACTGTTTAAAGATGGCGCCAGATAAACTTAGTGATAATAACAAATATAATAATAATAATGGTAAGTCAATATTCAAACATACAAAGAATATTAAATTATTTTATAAGCTTATTGTTACAAAATAAAGTTGTTAATAAAAACTTTTAACTAGGAAACTTTCTTACTTTGAGCTTCTTTTAAACAATTTGAAAATTCATTTTGAAAGTAAATCAGTGCTTCTTGTAAACGATGTGTAGAAATCTAGAAAACAAATATATATATATATATATATATATATATATATATATATATATATATATATATATATATATATATATATATATATATATATATATATATATATATATATATATATATATACATTGTATTTGCTAACAATTTTATGTAAACAACTTTTTATATTGATGTATAGAAACAAATCACCAAACGATTTGTTGATATATGTTAATTCTTAAAGATTTGTAGTTTAGTCTTAAGATTTCTCAGATGAATAAGAGTACATAAATATATCAACTGAGAATTCTGGTTTTTAACTTAATTTCTTTTTCCATGTTATACTACTAAGTTACTTACTAATATTCATTAGGAGAGATGGATGATAGTATCTAACAGTGGAATCCAGGACGCATGTTTCATCCTATATGAGACTGATTGATTGCAGTCCTAAACATTAATGAGAAGATTCAAACAATCAATACAAATGAATTACTAATATACAGTAGTTCATGTTGTTGTCAATCATTTTTTGACATATAAAACCTATAATCAGTTTGTTATGTGTGCTATTTTTAAATATTCACATGTATTCCTTACACTTATTCCATTTTATTACCGTGATTGTGTTTCCTTACCATTGTTAGCAGTTCGCCTTTATTTCGAGCGTGCCCCCCAAATGTTCTCACATGGCCATGCGTATACAACCAATGAAAAGAAAGCTCTACTCACTCCATTCTCGCAGCGGGGATGATGTTTACGAACTTGAGAGGACGGGAAGTGAATATCCGGTTGTTACTTAAACTACAACGACTAAACTAGAACTAATTTTACTGTAAATTTCAATTAAGAATGAATGCATTTAAACTATTGTGCTCGGTTTTAGGCTCATGTGAACTAAGTTATCTATTTATTTATTTGAACACACATATTGGTACAAGAGTGTGCCAAATATATATGCGCCACACAGGTTATCTAACTTCTAACTTTTATCGTTCTAAAGGAGTATACTTCCCGTAAACATAACCATGATTAACAGTTGGCATCAGATCATACTTTGTTTCTTTCAATTTTGATTTGATCACTACTGTACGTTTTAATGGACAGTGATTAGGCGTTAATCCAGTCATTCTAACTGATACAGTGTCACTATTTTAATGCTTCCTGCCTCTTAATACAGTTAAACTTACGATTGATATCAACACAGGTTACTCTCAGTGATTCTACAACGTCTGAGCAACATTTCAATGATACTAATGATGAAATCTACGTAACTTAAACAGAAAAGCACAAATTTATACTATTTTTAAATTAAAAAGACATTTAAAAACCAATGATAAATATTCAATCATACATACAAGTTTATAAAACTTGTCCAAAAATTCAACCACAATATTGCTGGAGGTACCTGATAAAATAAGAAACAATAATTAGAATCAAATATGACACTACACAGCTAAAGGAATACCGTGATAAAATATAAGTTTATTAGAATATTTAAATAGCAAAATCCTGGAAATCTTTATAGTTTACAACAGAAGTGGATGATTTAAAGTGTATACATCAAGTTTTCGTTTTCGTCTAGATTTGGACTGACAGACATGCTAACCTATAGTTTGGTACAGAAGTGAAATTTCAGGTTGTCACACTTTGTAATAGAACAGGAAGAGAAAATCAATAAAATTGGGTCGAAAAATGAATCCAGACATTGAATTTTTGTTAATCCGAAGATGTCAACTGAGAAATCTGATTATCTCTTCACACATTTAAAAACAGTAGTTTATGATTAATTGAACTGAATTAATGTCCCGATCTGATCACCTTGTCATTTTTATCGATCAAATTCTACCTCATTAGTGCACTTTGAGTTAGATTGTGATGCATAACATAACATAACTCAATGAATTCTGTCAATGCAGGTTTATACACTTATCTACTTATTTACTCCCTTCGTCGATAAATCTAACTTTAACCATGAAATTTCTAACTTAGTTATCTACCCAAACTTGGAAAACATTATGAAGAAACTTAGCGCTGAGCAGTTTTGCTTTACATACATATCCATAAACACTAATTAGAAGATTTTGATATCTTTTTAGCATCACGGATAATAATCTTATCTCAAAATACTGGAAATCTGGTGTACAGAAAAGCGTTTAAAAAATTGACAGATGATAGTGTTTAGGTAAGCATAGTTAGGATGGAAGAAAACTAAAATTAAATAATCACCCAGTTCTAAAAGTCGACTACGATCAAATTTCTCAGTTAGACCGTCTACCATATCAGTTGAATCGACATTTGGTCCAGATTCTAAATAGGAATCCCTGAACTTTGAAGAATCCAAAGAAGTTGTCTTCACACTTGATTCAATGGCCGGTTCAATTGTAGAGGAATTAACAGACTGATTAAGAGCTAAAGATTCTTCTTGTTCAATTGTGTTCGTTGAATTTGGACAAGGACTAGGAGATGAAGGAAGGACAGCAGGAGAGTGAAGCGATTCCAATGGCAACTGTGTAGAACTCGAATGATCCACCTCAACCAATATAGCGGTAGGCACAGGTTCTGATCATATCCATACAAATCAATGAAAGTAATGCAGTGTAAATGAAATTCATTATTATTTAAAATAATTGTATGAAAACAATCGTTTAGAATTAGAATAAACTAGAATGGAGATAATATTTATTTGAACACGTAAACACTGGTACAAGGGGGCACAGAATATATGTGCCACACAAATCGAATGATTTGTGTGGGGGATGGAATACTGTCCGGATGCCCGAACCGAAGCAGGTGGTTTTGTTAGGAGGCCACATCCCAAGCCTTTGACATAGAGGTCCAATCTACAAGCAGTGGATCAACGTTAAAAGGTAGTCGGTGACCAACAATAGGTTCATACGCCATTTGTTCCCTCAGGATCTTGGAGCCCATATGCACCATTGGTTTGGAATCAGGGTTTTCCAACTCCCCTAGGTGGATCCTCCATATCCATCAATCCGGTTAAAGCTCCGGATATTCACTTTTCATCATCTCAAATTCGTAAACAGCATCCCCGTTGCAAGAAGGCAGTAGGTAGGACTTTCCTTTCATTGGCTGCATACGCATGACCATGTGAGAGCATTTCGAGAGGGAGAGCTAACTCTCCCCAACCTTGGCCGTACCAGGGCATCGGGGGCAGAATGGAAATAAGCAACAAAATGGTGGTGTTTTTTCCCATCCATACATAGCCAAAATTAACAAATTAAAATAATGATTAATATATTTTAGAGCTTAACAGAGAAAGCTTAAGTCATATGGTCTGACCATTATTAATAATACTACTTTAAACACTAGTAACAGAGAAAAAGTAAACACGGAAAAGAAAACTTTAGAATATAACTGAAGCGATTACGAGTTTACTTAGTCTGCGAACGGAACAAAGACTTGTGACCAAAGACCAATAAACTAGCTATTCTGTTGCGTCCCAGCCCGCTAACTAGAGAGAGAAGTCGAAGTCCGAACGGGGAAGTGCATTCCGCAAAAAGCCAGAAGCACGAGTGATAACAACAGACACAAATCAAAACGTATACATACAGTACAAAACCGTCCTAGGGAAGGGTTACAAAACAGCCTACTAAAAGATACAGTGGACCAATAGCGTTTAAGATTCTGGGAAATACGACATAAAGGAGAAAAGAGCGATTGTGGCGCGAAAACAAAGAAATTCAAATTTTCCAAATAAAATTACGAAATTATGACCTTTTTCAAGTGAGTTCTGGGGATATAACGTCCCCAACAATAACTAATTACTAGAAATTAATATTTAGCTCAATGTTCAACAAGTAAAACGTTTGACACATGTTAAAATATACTAATAAATGTAATATGTTAGTATCGTGTTACAATTTTAAGTATTGAATAAACTAGGAAACTAACAGAATAAAAGACAATATTATGACTTGATATTTATGATAGCATTTTCATTACCATTGTATCACAATTATTTACTTGGACAAATTGAGTTGAGTATAACACACAGATTGAATACAAACGCATAAAATTCTGATTCATTTTTTTCTCGTATTCCTTTCTCTTCTTACCTAATTGACAATTAATAAAACTATAATAATAAAAAGCTGATTTCCTATCCCTTCACAATATAGTTTGTGTATCAAACACTTTAACATACTTAAAGATGGAATCCCAATAATACTAACCAATGTGAATGAACTGTTTCCAAGTATTCCTTAAAACGATTTTCGAAAATAAATGGATAGTACACTAGATAACAGTGAATTATACTTTCAAATGATTTCAAACAGGATGAAATAATTGTCGGCTGAAAACAATTAGGCAACTAATATTGATTCTGACCATTACCGTATTGGTAAACTTCAAGCCTTATGTCAAAGATGTTACACCCAAACTAATCAAGAATCAATGGTTAGGTTCCTCATAACTCCTAAAAAGTTATCTCACAATAAGTAATACCGAATAAATGACACGGTAAGAAGTTTAGAATAAACAATTAATTGTTCAAAATCTGGTAATTTTAATCAGGACCATTGTCAACACATACAGACATGAATACAATTGAATGATTTCATTGAATATGAAAACAATGTGTAGGTGACTTACTAGCTTTTCCACTGTATTCATAAGGATTTTCAGTCTTATCATTCTGTCGCGAAAACCAATGCTTAATACGAGTAAGAATTCCGGCTTTATCTGAGAATAAACAAACATTAATTTGTTCGATTGAATCTGTCGACAAACAGTCTCCCCTAAAATATGTTAAATTATCACTTGTACCTGAATCTTGTGGTTGATATGTTTCAGAAGTAGGTGATGACTTGCTTTTCAATGAAGATTGATGATCATCTTTTTCTTTTGGTAGATAATGAAATAGGCCTTTCTTTGATGAATCGGCATTCTTTTTAGGCTGTCGTGATACATCGTAACCTAAGATCAATATAGTGACGAAAAGTACATGCATGCACGAAAACATGTGAAATGAAAAAAGCAAAAACGCTAAATTGAGTGAAACAGATTTGAAAAGTAGAAAACATGCATTTGTAGCTAGTATGTGCCTATAGATGTTTTAGAACAACATAGTAGAACAACAGCTTAGATAATGTTAAAATGATGAAGATTTGAAGCTTCATCGACTTAGATGGTAGAGAAAAGAGTTATCTATGTTCAGCCATTTACTATTTAAACAAAGCTGACTATCACAGGAGTAGTTTCAAAAAAACCTGAGGGCGACTAGACAACAGTATCCTATGAAGTTGTAGTGAAAGAACACTCAGGTGAGGACAATCAATTTATACTGTTTAATGCGATATTACAGAGTCCTTTGGTAAAATGTGACAACCATACATTAAACACTTCATTTGCAAATCTTCCATCAAGTGTCTTATATATCCTTTATGATTCTTCTAATTCTCAAATCCTTTCTGTTTCATCTCATGTCTTCTTCAGATCAATCTTCTCAACCCTCTTTGGAGATACATTCCACCTCTGATCAATGTTACATACTACTTATGTCGACAAACACAGCAAAGTCACTAACTAAATTAAGGCGAGATTGCAAGTTTAATGATTGGAATCAGTGAGGCAGACATAATCGACGATTCAAGACTATACATACCACGTCTGAAAATTGGTTCACAGAGCAGATGTATTCACTCGTTATCCTCTTTTAAAGCCCGAATTTTCATATTATCTTATACTTTTAATGTGTCCATTTTATTCGTTTTTTTAATGTTTTCAATGTTTATTTTTCTGATGCCATAAGCAATATTGAAACCTTATTCCTGTTAATTCTCATTTAACCAATGTAAGATCGGTAAGACACTTACTGCTTATTAATTCAGCTTCCTTTTCAAGCTTCTCAAGAGGAAATGTATTTCCATACTATGAAATGTATTTCAACCAAAAAGCACTCACTTCATTAGTTCATCGGTCTACATTCTTATTAGATATCTTTTATCCATGCAAACGAGTACAATAAATTTATCCAAATTTGAAATTTTACTCACATTTCACTGGAACAATAGGATCAGGTAAATTAACTGCTTGACTGTTAAGAGTTTTTGGCTCTAATTGAGGTGATGACGATGAAGTCACATCCGTGTGACTAAGTAGACATAATTCTAATTTCAGTGATTCCGTTTTTAGTAAATGATCTTTCATCTGAAATTATAGTTAGTAAATGACTGATGAAAAAATCAAGCCCCCAAAATCTCATTTTTGTAAACTAATTTTTAATATATAACCTACAGAATATGCAACAAAACACGACTCATCAACTGCCTAATTCACGAATTCGTTAACTTTTCCTACCAGAACTTTGAGAAATTTATCTCGGATGAATCTGATTATCAATTGAGTGAAAACAATTCTGTTGCAAAGTGATTAGGAGCTAAACAGTTTTCAATATAAAATAAATAACTTTGAAAGTATATACTACTGAATAAATAACACAACTCAACAGCTAGGAGTAAAAGTAAGTTAAAAGTTGTGAGCTATACTGATTAAGGGTCAATCGGATAAAGTTTATCACTCACATGGTTGAAAGTCGTCCTTAAGCCATTAGATTACAACCTCACAAATACACGTACAACACCTCAAAAAAACACTATCGTCAAATATTTAAGTGACATAAACTCAATAACTGCGCATACATTGAGATTTGAATATCCCATGGAATCGACGATTAATAACAAAGTGCATTACAAAAAATTATATAAAAGACCCACTAAATAGACATAAAGTATCGTCATCAACGTAAGAATTTAGTCACAAATCTGTTACTAATATTAATGCTGTTGAAAAATACAATAAAATACTTTTCACCAAAAATGCACTAACCAGGTTTCGTATTTGCGATTTCTTGAAGCGCGATGGCTCATCTATGGTAAAACAAAGAAAACGTTACAGTAACGATCTGCCGAATACATTTTATTATACCGAACGGAAACTATGTTAAGTAATTAAATATTTTTTTAATCCACGGGATTTTAACAAGTACATTTTCTATACCACCGAAAGATAAACTAGATCGATACGTAGACTCCTCTCTATCTTTCTCTAAGTCTCGAGTAGTTCCACACTTCGCATACCTAGATCTCGTTTTTTCCTTCCGATACACATTTGTCATATATTCATATTGTAGATGCTATAATTTCCAGTTCACTACTTCAGATTTGGCCGATTTCCCATCTCTCGCAATGTGCTGGTTTAATGTATAGTAAATTGAACAGATCGTATGTTGTCTTTAACTGCGTAGAACTTGGTCAATACTCTTAAATGAAACAAACATTCATAAACTCCTCAATCCATCCAATCAAATCCATTAACCAAGCAAGTATAAATTTGATGAGATTTATGGATTTGAAAAATAATTTTGTGGGAACTGGTCATTCTTCACATTCGTTGAGAAGAATATAAAACGAATGAGGATTTACACAAATGTCATCAAACTGACCAACAGTATAATACATGCTAATTTCTAGTTTAAGTCGCAGTGCGGATGGTGACTTTTAAGAACCCTTAAGTAAATTCACTGGGATGAATAATCTAAACTACCTCGTCGCGTATATCCTAAAATAAGTGACCAATGATACACCTGTCTGTTATGTGGTTAAAAGAAAACTTGGATCTACGTTACGTATTAGTCGACACTCGTTAAAAAATCATAATTGTAGTCTTGATGGGGAGTGATGCTATCTGTGCGAGTGCAACTTGATCGACGAAATTCGATCAGAACTAAATGATTAGACAAACATCACGTTAGTTACTACTTAATAATTAATCAATTGTAAGCACCTCTGTGTGAGAGATAAACTACCTAGATGAACCTACTCCATATGCATATACCTGTCTGTCTAAACTTGTGAAACTAGGTAGACTGATCAGTCGTTAACAAATATGTCGCCACGCGTTAGATAGAATCTTTCAGTGAAGGGAAAGGTAGAAGTTCAAAATCATCTATTTTGCAATATGAAGTTAGTTACTCTTTGACATTACTTATAGGACCTTATCCAATCTATTTCTTTCACATTGCAGAATCGTTAGTTATGCTCCATCTAAAATTGAATAATGATGTTAAAAATAGATCTTATAGTTGTTTTCATTGTCATAGCCTTAGTCTTAATACAAACTACTGTATTTTTCTTTCGTGATTTTATATCTTTTCATATTCAACCTATTCAAACTCTCATCTTTAATCAATTTAAGATTTTCAACAGAAATTCAAAATTACATTTATGCTTTGTTATTATCTTATTGTTTCTAATCTAGTCCTATTATCGTTTACAGTGACCTACAACTGTCTACTTTAAAAAGAAACATCATAATCTTTCACTACTTAGTTGTATTATGTAGCTTTGTTCCCTTGAATTCTCGATATTAATTTTCCCAGATAATTTGTCGATCGGATTTCTATGAATAATTAATTCGATTAATACTAATCTGTTACTAAAACCATCTACATGTTAACTGATTCACATCCATTATTATGGGCCCATACTTCGTCAATTATACTTTATAGTATAAACATGCAAATGTAATATTTTCTTACGGTGTTTTGAAAAAAATGAATAAGGCGTTACGATTAAGCCATTCAGAAAACATCACTTGACAAGTACCAAAAGTAAACGGAATGTTTAGTATTATGTTTGTGATTCATGTGTTTTTACCCATTCCAAATCAGTGATAAATATCTTGGTATAAAGGAAATTATTGTTAGTTTGTGTATGAGATTTAGTTAGGCAGTTATTGTAGCCATATGAGAAGTAAAGACTCATGTATGAGACTTGATTAATTAATCATCGTTAGATCCCTAAACTAATAATCTATAGGAATAGATGTCCTTATCCAAACATAATGACGATGGTAATTATAATAGTAATGATTGATACGTCTAGTACTCAAACTCCTAACAATAACCTGATAACTGCTCCTCAGTTCACCAGAAATTCTCCTAAATGTGAGCCTCGAACAGTAAGAAGATGGCGGGAATTATGTAAAATGACTTGCTTTTAAGGTTAGTTTGAATACAGAAAACACGAGTATTTGTCTATGGATGGCCTTTATATTCTGAAAGCTTCTGGAAACAAGTTAAACTTATTAACAACATAGGCAATCCAATCAGAATGTGACACGCAATTCGTCATTTTCCTAGAAATTTCAGAGACGTCTACAGTGAAAACTGATGGAACGAATCGCTTTCAACATAATCCCAGCTTCTGAAGACTTCTCAACGATAATAATAGCATACTTGCGAAAACATTGACAGTAAAACTGTAAAATATTGACTACAATGAATTTCGTATTTGACTACTCTACCAGTAAAGTTTCATTAGTTTGGTACAGTAGCACAAGCGACTTACAAAGTATTTCAGAAACTCACTATAATAATCAACTTCAAAACATCTCATATATATATATATATATATATATATATATATATATATATATATATATATATATATATATATATATATATATATATAACATTTTTTAAAAGTCTTTCTGATAATTCAACAACAAATACTATCAACAGTACATTACATCAGCAATCGTAAACACATATTTTTCAAACTGCAATATCTCTTCCAGTTTTTCATGAGATATATCGGATAAATTAATAAATTCATTATAAACTACAACTTAATTATAAAAGCTTTTGTTGAGATTGAATGACTTGAAAAGCCCTGACTTATAACATACACACATATTAAAACGATGGTTAAACTTAAATTTTCATCCCTTTGTGGATAACTAGATAGAGCAGAATGAATTTATAAGGTTATCTTGTGGTGTGTGTTACTTATATTGACATAAATAATATATGACGTTAGTCGTGGACAGGTCTGGCAGCAGAGAGACGAGAGGATCAAACAGTAAAGAATCGAAACAGAATGCGATTTGTATGAAAACGCAAGAACAAGTCTGAGTCATTTTGAGACAATTGGTGGACATTTTGCAAATTAAGCATTTACTTTATGATTGTTAGGTTTTATTAACGATTCCTGCAATTTTCTGTTAAATACATTCGATTGTCCCCACTCGTGTACTGTTCACTACACCCTAACTTACATGATATGATCCTAATTAATGACAATAAATGAAAATATTTGGAACCATATTTAAAATGTAACCTAGCGACTGACAATATATCAGTTCTAAACCCTCTGTACAAAGGGTTTGTAACAAATGACAATTATTTATCATACTTCACTATATGTATACATAGACCTGAATCTCTTGTTTTACTCACTAAACTGTAAGAAATATGGTGTTAATTTGATTGTTCAAACGAGAAAAAGCCCATAAAAACTATACAGTTCATATCATTTTAAAAATAAAAACTTAAGGAATCATTCAATAAGAAAATGTTATCAAGTCAATTCAACATTTAATCCTAATAAGTATTTCTTTTTTCAAAAGAAAGATAAACGACTACAGGAACTAATAACATGCAAATAAGAGTTAATTATAAAGAAAGTAAACACTCAAACTTACAATTATATGCAGCCATTAGGTGATTTAAACCTTCTAGATAACAATCGTAGGCTTCACATAATTTCCCCAGTGATTCTAGTTGAGGCGCACGCTTAAGATATTCGGCCTGTTAAAGAGGAAAAAAATGTGAAAACCATAATTAGAATAATTTTACAAGAACAAAATTATTTATTGTGCATGTTTTGAATAATATGAATACTCAACAATAAACTAGAATGAAATCAAATCTTTGACAAGAAAACAATGAATTACAAAGAACTAAGCATCACACTTCACAATGTAAGTGATTTTTTCTTATAAATAAAGATGTACGCCATAGTGTCACTGAACATAATGAGTAAAGTGTCACATTACACAAATTGTTAAGTGAATAACGAGAACAGTGTCTTCCAGTGAATAACATCTACTAAAACCTGATATAATGTGAATTACCACGTAATTCGTAGTTTTGGACTCGACTAATCTAAAAATGAAGGGAACATATCGTTTGAATAATCTAGAATATTTTTGACTCCATTATCAAAATGACAAGGTAGAAAACAAGAAGATTGTAGTACAAAATATTCATTAATCATACAATTCAAAAATATATATCCTTCCGTTCACCGATTGGATAACAATGAGTTGATAATGTATAATCAATATGTTTTCCAGCAATTGCTCGTATATTTTAGAACTATCAAGTTAATAATTTCGAGGTTAGACGCAGAGTACTAGGTAAATATGGAAAGTTAATTGACGAGCTAGTGAAACTTTATCGACTGAGATCATTAGGACATGTATTACATATGCTGATGGCTGGTGTAGGGGAAGCTGGAAGAACTTTAGGAATGACCAGACCAAGACACAGCATCAGTGCGTGGAGACGCTGACTATTGGAATGAGTAATGTAAGTACATTCAGGATAACTTCTTAAGGTCCGCGTGATTATCGCAAGCGAGGGTTAGAGACTATGGTTGACATGGCTCAAAATCATCTGCAATGCATCAGGTGCATTTACTGTCTTCCCTCAAATCCTTATTTTTTAAATTCATTATATTTTTTTTATTATTTCGCTAATTCATATTTGCTAGAATTGTATCTAGGATACCTAATCTCTTAAATCACCTCTCTATTCTGGGATTTTCCCTGGCAATTTCATCCCGCTGTTTTAATGTATTGCGGCAACTTGAACCAATGCACACATGTTCCAGCGCTTACGTTGCATCTGACTGACCAATCTAGTGACTTCTAGCCATCTAATTACAGTTAAGCCGATATATCTACATTAAAAACAAACGTTCAGATCGAGAAAATAACAACCAAAGAAGAAGAGAATCGATACAAATCCACCTGCAGAATCAATCAATCAGTTAATAATAATAATGGTAAGATTATATAACCGAACTTACAGCTTTATCCAGACTTTGTGCTGATGGTGCATGATCTAAATCAATGAATGGATGTGAAAAAAATTGTTCATGATTTAATCGTTCAGAAGGGTTCCGTCTTAATAAACCATGTATTAAGGCAGCACATGGTTTGCTTATTTCATTTGGAGAAGGTAACTATAAACATACAAAAAAATAGGTGAATTAACGGTGATTAAACACTGAATGCTTAAAAATCCTCTAAGGAGAATAATAATTTATTGTTGTACAAAAAATGAAAGTTTATATACATAATTGTACACAGAATCTATTGCTTTTCAAACTCTAAGAAAACATTCATATAAAAATACTCAACTTAAAATTCTACAGGCAATAAACACCGATAGGAACGGATACACTATGATCGTCAGAAAACAACACTTCCAAGATGGCAATGAATAAATCCGAGCAACATAAAAAATGATTGTGAATAGTAATATCCAACCTTTCATGAATATAATTGTTTTTGGCTTTATAGAGGTCACTTTATACTCCCTGAACTTTACTACGAGCAACAGGAATCAATGGGGCAATCAAGTGATATCTTTGGGATTGGTCTTTTCTAACTCATTCTTTTGTCCATCACACGGTAGCATCGCATAAAATTCTCGTTGAAAACACTTTAATTATGTCATAATTTAGACCTGACACCAAAATGACTACGCCAATTGATAAGGTATTCGCTACTCTTAGCCGTACATATCTCTAACCTATACTATAGGGTGAACTGACCAGGTTTGACATAACTATCTTACTATTTAGGTGTATGAATAAAAAGGATGTAGACTATAAACCGACGTTTGATTGGTTGCAATGAAAAAAATAATACTAAGCACTTTCGAGATGTTGGATTGCCTAGAAAGACGGTATTATATGTTAGTGGATATGAAGTGATGGCCAGAGTGTAAAGACAAATAGGAAAGAGAGGTATACAAAATAGAATATTCGGGTATTCCACTCTTCATACCATAATCGTTTTGCGGAATATGGTATAGTACTCTTTGTGTCTCACTTTTCGCTGCAGTCAATATTATTTCCTACTTTCTACTTTTCACCAGTGTGAGGGGACTAAGCGAGGTAAGGTTCGGATCTGACACCTAACATGACGGGATAATCAATAACATACTTGTTAAATCAGTACAAACATTTAAAAAACATGATGCTTTAGTGCACTACATACAGTGGACAGTGATATAAATGCACTGCAAACAATAAGACCGAATAGAATAATAATATATATGTAACAATGTGAAAGGGTACAACATGCTAGTAACATAAACTAGTGTGCTCAATTTTATTAAAAAACTAACACACAAAGGATACAACACTACATAACCCCATAAATCAGAACATATCTGAAGCTAAGTGCAAATTTCTACAGATCTACCTAGATATATTACACAATGAAAATAAACTTATACCAAAGTTGAATGGTAATGGAGTACAATAACTAAACAAAGTAATAGTTTACCCTAAAAAATCCTGGCAAAAATACATATGAGTTAACATTTTTATTGAAGTACACGTTTTGGTATAATTCATGCTGCAGACATAAAAATAAGTATAACTTTTTCTCCCAAAAAGCAAAAGTACTCAAATAAAAAAACCAATAATCAATATAAACTACCTTAATTTGTTCATCCATTGCCACTAATTTCTCTTTTAATTGTTCAATTGTAATTTGACCGTAGGGAGTAGTGCCAAATAGGCATTCTATTTTATTGGAAGGAAATAAAAGAATTCAATATGGAAAAGGATAACTTTTTTGAACAAAAATTAAAGATAAAGAAATTATTTTATTTCAGTTGAACAGCTCAGTTTTTGCAGGGTGTAATATCAGTTGATGAACTACTAACTTTCCTTTTCCCTCTGAAAAACAAAGAATGTTCGACATGACTTTCGTCCTTATCGTTGGTTGTCCTAAAAATAACTAAAAAAAACTCTAACAGTCAAGCCTTGATTTTAATACTTGTATGGGAAACATGATACTACAAGGCACTTGGAGTTTTGGTTTTGTATAAATAACTTTCACTATATCGGGTTCCCAGAGCACAATTTCGTCACCGGCTTTCACTGGATTTTATAACATTTAATTGATAACTTAAAAAACTGGACTGATGTTAAATACATAAACTAAAAAATACGGACAAAGATAAAATGGAACAAAATTACACAACTTTTCTTTACAATTCATTAAGTCAGGCAGAAAGTCAGTCATATATGCAATGTGAAACCCCGCGCAAAAATGCATTAATTCAAATTACCACACCATATGTAACATACAACAAAATAAAACTATCAAGACAAATCCCGAAGAAGTAGAAGTAGTAAACGAGATTAGGCAAAGATTCTGTTAAATGATTCCAAGAAAAATACAACAAATACATACTACTGACACTGTGTGCCAGTCAAAGTAAATGTGATTGGTTATCGAGTGTAGACAAACAGGAACTCAACTTACTGACTATTAAATATGTGACTTCCACTACTCTTATTGATTTCTACCACGGACTCAATGAAAATGGCTGCTTGTAATTGTGTGGAATAAAGTATCATCTAGCGTTACTCTGGCTCTACATTCTTGGTCATGAATCGGATATCCGATATGACGTGACCTGGCATGAGTGTAGCGGATCGTCCGAGTATTCAATCTAGAGATATTGTAAACTCGGTCACCTAGATCCGTCTCATTATCATATATTTCTATTATCGTAGTATGGCAATACCAAGTGCAGAGAGAAAATTATTTCAATCAATCCGTAATATCAAACACATAAATCAACTAATCTTTATTCCAACATCTTTTGTACGGTGTCAGCTTCCAAACTATTTCATTAGTGGCTTACTCAATAAGAAGTGGTTTGATGAAGTAGGAATGCTAAAATAGATCATGATTACTGTACATGACGTCTTCAAACAGTTGTCTTATAACTTAATTTCGCTAACTTCAAGGGACATGTTAGTAAAGATTTTGGAGTCGATAGTAATATTTATAGCGATGAAAAAGATCCGAAGAGAAACCTAATAGCAATTAAATGAGTGGGATTATGAAGCAATGTTTCTTCAAGCAAAATATCGAAAAAAGCGATAACAAGTTTTGAAAAAATGTTAAGCTTCATAAAAATACCAAACTCTTACAGACCTCATTACTACTCTAGCAAGAAACTCAGTTTTACAGACTCTCCTTATTAGTTGAAAAGTGGTTTCAAAAATCCAAGGTCATCCTTAACATTTCTGACTCTTCTTCATACTATAGCTACTTTATTCAATTTTATGGTTCTCACGCTGAATTTACTGGAAGCTACCTTTAAATTGGTTAGTTCTTAAAAACCATACAACTTAATTATGATAAGCATATCTGTGAGACGGCTGAATGATAATCATTTCAAGAATAACTGGATACCATAGTAAGAAGTAATGGTTTGAATGGATACATCGAAAAAATAAGTGTATGATTGAAGCTACAGAAGTGACGTTATTTTATTTTATGGAGATGTCGATTAAATCCATCCTTGAAGTGTGTTTCCCTTCCTTATGAGCGTAAAATATTGGTCCAGGACTTGTCTGAATCAATACTTTGGCCGATCATAGGGAGCAACCCTGGAGGATTGATGTTTAACAAAATCTCGGTATGCATTCCAAAGCTCGCTTGACCTTCACAAGTTTATATCACCTGTAAAGCAAGCAAAATGCCCATCTGGTAACGAACGATTCAAGCATAATGAGTATAAATTAGTCCCGTTTTGCTTTATGGCTGGGAAAAGTACATTTCAGAAGCAGAGGATATTCACAAGCATTAGAAAATAGGTGTCCTTGAAGCATATAGTGAGACCACTAAATGAGCAATGGTGGAACTAAGCTAAACTAGAAACCATCGCATGGGATGGTTATAATGCGTGGTACATACCCTGATACACCACCTAACCCAATGTGAAACATTCCTTGCCATAGAAGCAGGCCAGAAGACATACAGCGGTGAACAAATTAAAATGCTGAATCAATCCAGGAAGTTACCGATTGCTGGTCTCAATCCCGTCAGTAGTTGTAGATCTTTTATTTGAGACCCACGCAGTACTTTTAGTCAGTTTTTTTAGACGATTGGTAAAAAAGGAGTAAAATCAGTCAGTGATACAGTTATACACAGTACCCAACTTCCTATAGATCTTGAGTTAAGTATCATTCCTAACTTTACATTCTCCAAAACACCAAATCCTCTTGAATAACATTTCTCACTTTCAAGTTTAAATTGCGATAGATATAATTTTGGATCCAATGATCCCGGTCATTTAAATTTTCTCTCTGTGTGATGTGGAATGTGGCAACATGGACTGATACATATCCGTTCCAGGCTTCATCTAAACAATGAGTGACTGACTTTACTGAAGTTTACCCTATGTATGACAAAACATTGACCACCGTCAGACTATAAACTGTATAGTATCTAGCACAAAATACCAGAAGTCTAAGCGCCTTCACACTTCTTAGTTAGATATTTATCTACATTATTTATGATTTTCTAGATCAATTAACTTGAATAGTGGTTCGGCAATTTAGGCTCTCCGAATTTTGCTTATTTCGGTTAGGAGAAAAGAATAATATCACAAAATCATAGAATGAGTGTGACTGAAAGTTGAGTACAAGAAAATATGCTAGGGAAGTGAACTGCACTAAATCGATTTGTCCAGTTTATCTCATTACCATTTTCAGTATAACCTATCGAGATAGATGGTTGGTAGCCATTTGTGATGGTCATGAAATATTGAGGCTCTACTGTAGTTAGAAATGTAAATCCCTTGATGCCAAATTAATGGTCAGAAGGTTGTAAAGTTTGAACCCAGGTGGGGCTGCTACGGTACATTGCTGAGGAGTCCTATAATATGACCAAATAGCTGCCCAGTGTCGCACCCATTTTTAATGGTAATCTAACAAAACCCAGTCCGTGATATAAAACTACGAAACTTGTGGAAAAACCTACTGACCTAGTAGCTAAGATTGACCACACTATAGTGAGGACCTATAGAGTCATAATGATCCCATAATGTCAAAAGTACTATTCAACTCACCATATAGAATAATACCAATAGACCATAGATCACATGAAGGATGATAAAAACCATCGCAGAATATTTCAGGTGCCATATACAATAATGTGCCACGAACTTCATTCTTTTTAGCTGTCTCTTTAATACATTGGGCGAATCCAAAGTCTGAAATGTTATTAACGAGAGAATAAATAGATCGATCAAACCATAGATAGAGCAAAACGATGGGCAAGTAGTTACTAAACGCCTCCCTTTATAATAAATATGATCAAAAGTTTACGTGGAACAGGAAAAAAAACGAATCAATGAACTGACTACAACAACACAAAAACGAGATAAAGTCGACGACTTTATGATGAAACAACATGAAGTTCTATGTATACTTGCTAATTGTAAAAGGGATCTCCTTACTTCTACAAATATATGAGGTTTTACGGGCTCATTTTCAGTTTTCACTAAACAGAACACCATCTGAGTATTCTAAGTCAACAAAAAGTGGTACATTAACACCACTCAGATGGATTCTGATCCACATCACCCAATTTCTCTAACCGTTGGTCAGGATAATCACGCAGACCACGGACAGGCAGTAAGCACATGTCAACACAGTTCATTTCAATAGTCAGTGACTTTATGGACTGATATCAAGTTTCGGCTTGACCACTAGTAACATTCTACCAACCTATTTCAACCCTAGTCAGGATTGTATGATTGTTCGTCATACACAACACTTATCCCAGTCAGCTAACTCAATGAGGGCTCATTACGTCGCTAACCAATTTGTTATATTTGCCAAGTAGCCTACGCCTAATCCTAGCATCATTCAATCAATCGTTCACGATAAGAAAGTATTGTCTCGAAGATATGTATGACCAAAAATCTGCTGTTTACACATGATTCCTATTTTCATGGACTACTTTTCACAGCAACATTATAGAGTGAACTGATATGTAATACAATTGCTTAATTCTTTAACAAACAGACATCTCATCTACGGACACGGGTGACGTACTGGACAAAGGTAATAGGGTCTTTTAAATCCGTGTCACGATTTCGTTCGACAACAACCCACCAGGGTTGGTGAAACTTTCAACGTAAATGGTGGTCAATACGCCCAACTACTTCACTCCGTATGATCACCTAGAAAATTTCTGAAGCAAAATTTTGCATTTAACGAGGAAGAGATGCATTCTAGACATCCTTGTAAGGCCGTAAAATCAAAAGACAACTACCTGAGGAAGGTGACACAAAAGCTTTGATGCCCTTAAAGCACTGCTTGCATATGTTGAGAAAATCGAATGAGCTACCCTAAGAACAGATACAGGGTACTAGGTAAATATGGCGAATCGGTTGATAAAATTTTTCTTCACTTAAAGCCTGAGCTCTAGAATTATTTTATAACTATTATTACGCGAGCTCATTCTTTCAGCATTATCCTCTCTATCCCTAAATTACTAACCTTATTGAAATTACTGATACTATTTCTACCGCCGCAGTATTCATCCTGATGTTGGCTGTGTTGATATAGCGTAGTAACTTGGACTGAGGCAAGCGTGTGTTAGATTATACGTTACTTGTGACTGACTAACCTTTTCATGAGTATTTTCTGATACATTAGCCCTTTATTCTACAGACATTGCCACTGGCGACAGAAATCCTCTGGGTAAAATTAGGTGTTATTTTTATCCCAGATCTTGTCTGACTCCTCCTGTGAGGAGGCAGGATTGTTGAAGATAATGGCTGTCTGACGGAAAGAATTTGTTTTTGCCATGTTGGCGTACAGTTGACAGTACAACTCCGCCCATGGACCTTAAGTTTGCTGTTTTTGAACTTACCGCTCTCCAATCGCCCTGCCTGGTATGGCAAGTGTTATGTTCTATAGCCCGTCAACTACCACGTGACAAAACCGCCAATCAGAACACCGACTTATAAGATCTGGGCCTTGTGCCAAAACAAAGACGTATTAACCAGTACGAGCATCCTAGAGTCAACTCTGAGTCTTTATTGGTTCTGACCTAGCCCTGCCCATTTGAGTTCAGAACACAATCTCAGCTTCCACTGTATGTATAATATCTTTCAGATCTGCACAGTTTATATACAAACAAATCAGATCGCATCACACCATGAGATAGAAAATAACAATTATACAAAATCAAGCCGAAAGTGGTTGGAAGTGTGAGCAGGTTGGAAATAACTTATGAATAGTAAATCGTATAATAGTAGTCAGGAGGTCAAATGAAAGCTTGTGATAAAAGGAATATGAATATACATATAATCTGGTTACTTAATAGTTATCCAACAGGGATGTATGTAATAATAGTCCATAAATAACTCTTGCCAGTTACCACTCAACTATTCATCATTCGGATACAACAGCAGGACCTAAAGGAATAAGTGTCCCAGCCAATACAGCTCAATTAGATAACCAGGATATAGAAGCCTGACCACCGTATCAAGGTGCCAGCTATTCAAAGAGATATCTTAGGACAAACGTTCGATGACAATATATATCTTTCCCTTACCTTACGTTTGTAAATCCGAACCTGTCTATAAACTGTTCCTATATCCGAAACCCCACTACGTGGTGATTTCAGTTAACCTCCATCGGTTATATACATTGTACTGTTGTCAAATGGAAATGTATACAGTAAATTTACGTCTTTTAGTCGGGTTATGGAATACAGAAAGTCAATCTAAGGGAAATCTGAAAATGTGTTTCCAACCCCATGTTTGGAAAGAAAAACGTATGTGAACTTTCTCCGATCGCTATCCCTTCAAGTATTGCAAACATCGACTTTTTTATGCTGATGACACATTACTCATGATTTCAGAAATGGTAGGAGGGGTTTACAAACTAACCATGCTTTAGTCTGAGAACCAAGAGGGTATCTATGACAAGAAAATTATGTATAATAGTTAAAGCGCCGGTTTCGAAAACTGGGTCACAAGTTTGAACTGTGCCAGTATTTATCTGAAACCTGTGTGGCTTAAAGTACTGGAGCATATACTTGGTTACTGGGTTGCATCGCCACCGACAAATTTGTGACCGATATATGCACTGGCACTCATTTTCTAGTGCATTTTCTAGTAACTAATAAGTAAAGAACATTCGTCGATAAAAAGTTTTGCCGCATTGTCGTAATTTTCTTGCAAATAGTAATTCGTAAGAAGACGATTTGACGGTTGTTTTATCACAATCCATAAGATCAAATACTTCTTGATTACATCTAAAGTGAACTGCAGCTTACAGATAAACAGAACATCATGTTGACAAGCCTAACTACATATCTACACCTAAATTGTCTCAGAATATTATATGAACAGCTTGGTAATACTTTCCGATAGATTATGCGGTGGCACTATTTATTCTGACATTGCTGAAAAGCGAGCCAGATCTACTAATAAATGGGTAGAAATAATTTAGAGGTTCAGTTGTTTTATCTGGTGTCAGACTGTAATGAAAACTATCTTCGAAAATGACTTTATAATTTTATTATGTACTTCTATATAAACGAAAGGCACTGCGTGCCATATATTATAAAAAAGGTAATAAAAAGTAACCGGACTTACCAGCAAGCTTCAAGCTTGGATTGTTAATTGATGTGAGCAAAATATTCTGAGGTTTTAAATCCATGTGGACTATATTTTTACTTTTTAAGTATTGAAGAGCTAATGCTATTGGTTATGATGAGGTAAATGTCAAGATATACACTTGCTTACCTAACTGCTGTAAAAAGCGTTGCACAAGCAGTTCATCTAATCTTTTTTTCAACCTCAAAAATCTGCTAAGATCTCCTCCGCCACAAAACTCCATTATAATATACACAAAAGATGCATCCCACTAATCCGAAGATCACTAATTAATATAATCTTACAGTAAAATCAAGCATACGAACAATATGAGGATGCTCAAGAGCTTTCAAAATAGAAATTTCACTGACTAAATTATCCCGTGCTTGATTGCTTAGTTTCAACTTCATAATGCATTTAATTGCTACTAGCTTACTTGAACCCTTGGAGAAATATGAAGGTTATGCATGAAATTTTTACTTACGGACTTTCTTCCCATGTATACTTGTCCATACGTCCCTCGTCCTAGTAGCTGGGAAATAACAAAGCCCGGTACTTTGATCATTTGAAGGAATGACCAGACGTGTTAGTTTCCCACCTGATAAATATTATGATCTAGATAAGAAAAGTATGGAAGCGATGCATGATAAAAAATTAATCGTGATAAAAATCTATTAGTAGTTCACCAACTGAAAGTCAATAGCCAAATAGAAGTCACTATAATAGGTTTTGAGTTACTAACCCACCGGAGGAAATAGGTAGAGCGGAACGTGTATCTATGGCACAAATAATAAAAACAAAACATTCGAACCACCTGATCAGCCCCATGTTAAAAGCAGATTAACACAGATTTGGACACCATATTGCATAGGTTCAAAACGACGGTTAGTAGTGCACATTTTCACAAACAGGTACAAAAGGTAATCTAGATACTTATTCATAAAAACTCAATCTCCAGGTTATACCTTTTAAAATCTAATGTAATAAGAGTTTCAATTTCTGAAGAACCAGTGGGTAAATAAACGCACTTGTTGACTGACGTCCTATATATGACTAGAATCAAAGTAATAATGGACATTAGAGGAGCGCACATATACAATCAATTCTCAACAAAGAACTCACTCTTTATATTCACCACATCCTCACATTTAAGACCAATTTTCAACCTCTAACATATAATACACAACTGATGGATTAATTAGGTAGGACTGTTTGTGTCGTCCTAGAGGCACTACGACAACCTAGTTGCTAAAATCGCAGGTTCAACACATTCAGAGTTTGTAAATAGATCACTGATGAGATGCTTTCTAACTCCTGGAGTATATCTTCAAGGGTTTAATGATAGCACATTACCTAGCCGACTAAAACTGACGGTACATTCAGTAGACATGTCGTGGCTGCAAAACACGACACATCATAAAAGTACTCAATATTGAAAAATGCTACGATAGTCTTATTATTCTCGCCCTTCACTAAATGTCTAAATCTGAACTGACTATACTACTAGCAATGTCATCATATTCTGCAGTGTCAAGCCCATCACATTTCTTACATCTAAAAATTTGTATTTCTGACACTGATTTTGATTATATTATTAATGCAAGTGGATGATGCCATAGATTTCCACGATAATATCCACCAGGTAACGCTTAATTGACAGACTTTTGATGTCCGAACCTAACCACCTAGTTAGGTTCATTTCGAAATCACTTCACTACTGGTGAAAACATCCTCAGCACTAAGTATAATGACTGATAATTAAACAACGTGAAGTCTTAAGAACTTTTGGAGGTCTCTCTCAGACTGTAGATCATAGCTCAGGATGTTTCGTTTACAACCAGTAAAGTTCATCTGATAGCTAAAAAGTGAAAAAAATGTCGACACATTTTCCGAAAAGATGATCAAGAAGCAAGGCTTTACAAGTACCATTTCAGCAGTCGACAAATAAAATAAGTCAACTAAATATCATGAAAGAGATTTACATTCGCCCATGTAACGAGACGACTAAAATACGCGCCTTCAATTCCCAATCATTGACAAGAAAATTCATATATATATATAACTTAACGAGCTTCCGCTTCCAAGAGTAATTAATCCCTGATGCTTCAAGGCACAGACCTAAGCATTTCAAGTGAACAAAAGAGAAGCATTGGTAAATCAATATGGTATATTCTACTGTGTACTAGAGAATACGTCAATTTTCCTCTAGAAGGACTACTAGGAAGTTCACTGGACCATCTAAGTCCCTAGGGTACATTACATCCACTTTACCCTCGCTATCGAGGATGCATTTCCATCTGTCAATCGCAGTCAGCAGTCTGTGTCTCAGAAGTGGTTCTCCCAAAGCCATGCTGTTGGAGTAAAAATAAGTTTATCGGAAAGCAGTAGTCTCTTAGGCAGCCATAATTCAGGAGTCCAAACACATTTTTGAATGCTGAAAGGAGAAATATCGGCCAATGGTTTGGAAGATCAGGATTTTGTCAGGATTTTTAGCTCGTTTCAGAAATTTCTGTTAAGATGCAATGAACGCTCTTTTTAATTGACTTGTGTACGACAAGTGAAATGTTTAGGGATTCTTTATTGTCGGATTAGTCCGTCAAACCCTGCCTCTAGCTTTCTTTTAACCTACTCTTACGGCGGATAACAACTCTCGTCTAGATAGGCGGCAGTTGAGGTTGTGAGATGTGTCCCAACCACTTTAGTTGACGAAGATTTGCCCTGTGGCATTAACAGTGAGGATGATCCTGTAGAGGTTCTTACAAAATACTACTTATGACCGATTCTACTGCATAGAAGGCATATTTAAGATGTTCCAGCCAAAAATCATTACTTTAACCATCTGAAGGCTTCAAAGGGATTGTTGTTGAGAATGCTTGATTAGCGGTGTTAATAATATCGCTGAGCTGTCGGTAATGTCAAAATCACCTTTTATTGCACAACGCACGGAGCGAGTGAATCTCGAGACTGCCATTTAAACTCACAATTTTTCATTATTTAATATACAAACAGAAAATATAACCCATGTATAAATAAGTAGATAGCTATTTCACCTTAAACGTCTTCCTCTTAGCAGAATGTTATCTACTAGCCCTTAGCCACCTAACTTAAGCCAATGCAAGTACTTATTGTAGAATTATGTGATAACGTTGTTCCGTAGATTTCCCTGTTATTCTTATCAAAAGAAGTTAATGTCTATTTACTTGAGATGTCATCGTTTATCTAATATTTATCACAACGACCAACTTGAACTCACTGAAATCTGTTCTCTGTATGGCCATAATTTCGTTGTAGTTAATTTTGATCACTACATTGAAAATTTCGAGGGGTATGTTGAAAAGTGGTAGAAATTATCTTCATAAATAAAGCAATTTATTGCGTCACTGACTAAAGAATACAGGTTTTCCAGAAAGCACGATTTTCTTTTCGAAGATATCATTTACTAAATCGGTATGTTTGTATATACAATAATTTAATGAGTATTTCGTGCCTTAAGGTAACCCTTGTGCTATTGATAGAAGAAACCAGACAAGTAGTGAATAGGTCTTTATTTCGATCTTCGCGTAGTCACAGTGGAGTGTGGTATTATCTGTTCAGACAAACAAAGGCTCTCTACATTCAGTATAACATAATAGGGAATATAACGCTTATACAAAATAAGGAAGTGAATAAATACTTGAACAATACTTTTTTGGCATATGCTTGGTTGTTTGGAGTCAACTCTTAACCAACCAACCTATGCTGTTACATTAGCTTCCCCCTAGAATCGACTTTCGTAGGGACGTCGGTTCGATTAACCTATCTATCAAAAACACCTAGGTTCTATTTCTCATCCCAAGGGAAAATAATCAACTCGCTCACTGTTTGACTTGCAATCGGTGATGACTAACGCTGTCAGCTGTCAACGATAGTCCATGGATGTCTCTATATTTACTAACTTGTCATCTTATTTTGTACCATGTGATTTCTTCTACAACTATCGCTGACGGTTTGCTGCGTGCTTTCAAAAGAAAGAGTGTAAGAATGTAAAATAAGAATATCTGAGGAAGTGCCACGAGCAGGCTACCCAACACCATGTTGGTGAGGTACGATTTTTCCACGATCAGACCGGCTATCAGGTGTTTACTCACCTGCCTCTTGAGTCGCCCTCAAGTAAAAAGTAAAGAAGAATCTACTTCAAAGGTAATGGTGAAAACCAATCAGACCTGAAGAAATGCTTCACTGCCTGCATATAATAATAAGATACAAAATGGAAATACATAAATATAATTGATAATTGTCCGGTTCCACGTAAGTGAATGGCCTCCAGAACGGATTGGCATTCTGGAAGGAAATAGACATAATGTAGACATCTTGTGTACGAAAAAAGTATGAAAACAAAATAACTTTTTTATAATGCATATATATTGAAGTGTAAACTTGCTAGAAGTTGGACTCATTGTCAAACCCGATCAAACGTATGACCTTGAACCTGTGACGACCGCCTTTTACAACCAGGTACGTAACCAAGGGTGCAAAAGAGTACTCCACAAAACGGAGGGGATAAGATTGTGTAGAGTATGAGGATCAAGCACAGTTGTGTCAAATACTCTTTTCTGGTTTGATTTAAGTATGCATGATATATTGAAGCAATATTTCGTCAATTCATCCAAGTAACGAATTTGTCTGCACCTTAGAAGTGTATAAGTCCTATTACTCATTAGTATTGTGAATGGTTATTCGGTGTAAGGAAATAATGCAGTCATTCCACTCGTGAACTGATGTGGTCTAATAGCTAGGCACGCGGTCTGGCATTCAGGAGGGCAGAGGTTCGAGTGCGTGTGAGGCTTGCGTTTTTGTTCACCAAAACCCCCTTCAATACGATGTTTGTTGCTCATAAGTTGCTCAGATATGAGAGAAAAATAACAGGGGGAGGGAGTGATATGTCAATGTGCCATATTGGAATAGTAAAAGTTCTTTGTTTGTATTATTATTAATACTATAGAAAAAACTGCAAGTTTGGTAGATTTCCATTTCACGTTATACTTAAACTAAAGATATATATATATATATATATATATATATATATATATATATATATATATATAAGTAATTGATTTAACATGTCTTTTTGATAACGCTAGTGTTAAGTTCCAGGATTTTGTATGGACTACTAATAATAATTGGTTTAACGTTAACATAGCCATGATAGTCATATCGTCATTTCAATGTAATGATTACTTAACAGTTCCTTCATAAGTTGTGTTTAAAATTAGGTATGTGGAATCAATGTGGCTAACATAGTAACCTTACAGTAACGCACTGTACTATATCTTCATGGTTATTGATTCTTAAATGTCAGAAATTTTAAAAAATCTGAATATTGCCAGTAAAACTTGGTTATATGATCATAATAAAAAGCCTGCTGCAGGAAAACTGGTTAAGTTATTGCATAAGCTTCCTAAACATAAAAAAATGATGAGAATGTAGAACTTATGGTCTACTATGATATTAGTACTGCTCTAATAATAGACCTAATCCTAAATTTGTAGATTTGTCATGATATGACTGCCTAATCTATAAGATCTTACGTGGAAGTCACACCATCGACTACACCAACTCACTGTATCGTATGAATTACCAATACATGATGTAGAACAAGGTTAGGCTACAGAAAGAACAATATATTTAATATGAAGAGAAGATATAAGGTAACATTCAGCAGAGACCACGCCTGCATGGCCGAGCCATGCCGTTCGATCAACTCCAATTCATTCAATTCATTATTCGCGCCTTCTCCATCGTTAGGTATTTCTTCGCGTTAAATATTGAATACCTATTTTCCAAATAATCTCGTATTCAGCTTTGAGGATAGTGTGGTTATGGTCCAATGCCACTACACTACTCTCCCACCAGAATCAACGTGGTGTTGGTTCGATACCCAATTGGATGAGACTGTAGTGTGCCGAAGGTTACCGAGACTAGTAAGAATCCTCCGGGTGATGACAAGCTGAAAAATAAATCAAAAGGAAGACAGCAGCATCTGGTCGGGAAATACATGTAATAATTTTAAAATA